CACGGACGGAAGACAGCCTCTGCGGGCAGATTTTGACTCGATTATCCGAACTGCTCAAACCAGAGTAAGCGACACAGAGCAAGAAAGCAAATCAAACTTCTCCCAAAACCAGCAAACTGAAGACGGAACATCAGGAAATGAAGGGAATGAAAATAACAATAAGCAAAAGAATCAGAGGTGCGCCGTGTGCCTGGAAGACAGATGTGTATAAGAGACAGAGATCATACTGCACCTGCCAAGCGTGATACTTCAGACCTGCCAAGCGTGTTACTTCAGACCTGCCAAGCGTTATACTTCAGACCTGCCAAGCATGCCACTTCAAACCTGCAAACCATGATACTTCAGACCTGCAAACCATGATACTTCAGACCTGCAAACCATGATACTTCAGACCTTCAAGATATGATACTTCAGACCAGCCAAGCGTTATACTTAAGACCTGCCAAGCATGACACTTACTGTCTGCCAAGCATCATGGCAAACTCCGCATAATACTTACGGCCAGCCTGGCTTTAGGTCTAAGCCATACCGCTTATGAGATGCTGCAGTGCCTGAGGTCTGCTGGGTCTAACAGCACTGCAGGGTCTAGCCAGCACTGCAGGGTCTAGCCACCACTGCAGGGTCTAGCCAGCACTGCAGGGTCTAGCCAGCACTGCAGAGTCTAGCCAGCACTGCTGGGTCTAACAGCACTGCAGGGTCTAGCCAGCACTGCAGGGTCTAGCCAGCACTGCAGGGTCTAGCCAGCACTGCAGGGTCTAGCCAGCACTGCAGGGTCTAGCCAGCACTGCAGGGTCTAGCCAGCACTGCAGGGTCTAGTCAGCACTGCAGGGTCTAGCCAGCACTGCAGGGTCTGTTTAATACGCTGCAAGGTCAGAATAAATAAGCTTGACCCTCAGGTTCCCTCACTTTGTTCCCTCGTGAAGCCCTCAACCGCCAGTTACACGCTAGCGGCCTGAATATTGTATAGCGTCTTGTGTTGTCTATACATTACACATATCGTACTGCATTGTATATACTTCTCAATATACACTACACAGCACAAATAAATTTTACTTATCAATAATGCACTTGATCCTACTTAGATCTCAGAAAGGATGTGTGTGTTGAAGCCTGGCGAGAGTGAAGTAGAAGTTCTACGTTCTATGTGAAATGAGAATTAGAACAGGTCTTTATTAATTAGCATTAGCTACTTATTACATACACACAAATAACACTCTTTATTTTCTCCAAATTCCCATTCCAGATAAGACATTCCCAGCTTTTATTCCTCCTGATATTGTAGCTTTGGTTTAATCTTAGTTCTGTAGTGGTCAGCGTTATTTATATATATTTTTTTATCATTAAAAAGTGTTCTGCATAATAATATCAGCTGATGGATCTTCATCCCTTCTCCTCATGTCCCCCTCGACCTCTCGGTAACCCCCAGGGGGGGGGGAGGCGCCGCGGGGTCCCGCCTGTCAATGGGACCACAGGCGCGGAAACTGGGACCGTCCCATGCCAGCCGCAGACCCATGATGGGTCTGATATGTGGGGGGGTCTATATTGTATGGCCACAGACAGAGGGCCACACTGTGGCCGTACACATAATGGGGCCACACGCATGGAGGGGCCACACTGTCGCCACACGCATGGAGGGGCCACACTCTCGCCACATGCCTGGAGGGCCACACTGTCGCCACACGCATGGAGGGGCCACACTGTCGCCACACGCTTGGAGTGCCCCACTGTCGCCACACGCATGAAGGAGCCACACCAATGAAGGACCACAATCTGAGGTCCCAGGTTCACCGCCGTCGAGTTTAGATTCATCTCAGATGAGTCAACACTCAGAAAACAGAATTGGTCTTATTGTCCAAATAGTGACGCACATTTTGCACCTAGCATTGATACACATTTCTTCTAAGTCCAACTGGATCTGGATGACCTTCACAAGCAAGAGGCGTGCATCACTTTTTAGACAAATTTCCACTCATTACCTTGGGTGTAGAGTAAGAAGCAACTACCCGAGATTCACCTCCGCTGAATGCATTCACTGCGACTCACGGCGCCGAGTAAGGATGAGTATCTACTTCGTGCCCTGCATACACATTCATGACTTGCATGTTCATTTATGCGCCATCATGCGCATTCATGCCATTTCTGTGCTTTTACNTGAACAGAGCGTGAACAGCTGTCTCTTATACACATCTAGATGTGTATAAGAGACAGCCTTAGGCCCATTGAAGGCCCATTTTGGGCCCGCGTGGCAATTCAATTTCCGGGGCCGCCGCGTGAAGGATTCTTCGGCGCATGTATGGCGCGGAGTGCCGGAGCTGCGCGGCGCATGGCGCACGTTATGATGCGTCAATACAGAGTTTAGATACAATGAGTAGCAAGACTATATTGTTTAATATAATATGTTTATTATTATAATATAATAATAAATGAGCAGCAAGACTATATTGTTTAATTTAAGATGTATGTTATTGTTATATAATAATAAATGAGTGGCAAGACTATATTGTCTAATATAAGATGTATGTTATTGTTATATAATAATAAATGTATTAAAAGTGTGGCGTCGTATTATGGAGTGCAGCTCTGCTCACCTAATGCGTGCCTATAATGATGCCGACATGTTTCATGCCTACTGCTGCCTAGTGTTGCCTATAGAGCTGCCTAGGCAACGCAGTAGACACTTTAAACTTTAAAGTTTTCTTAAAGTTAATTTCGGTGACCTTGCGGTGTTTTGAAGTTGCCATTAGAGTTGCATTGACTCAAACTCGCTAAACCTCAACCTACTTAAAAGCTTAGTTATGGCGAAGTATGATAAATTGTAATCAATAGTTACTTGTAAAGTAATGGTTACTTGTAGAGTAATAGTTACTTGTAAAGTAATAGTTACTTGTAAAGTAATAGTTACTTGTAGAGTAATGGTTACTTGTAGAGTAATGGTTACTTGTAGAGTAATAGTTACTTGTAAAGTAATAGTTACTTGTAGAGTAATAGTTACTTGTAGAGTAGGTAATAGTTACTTGTAAAGTAATGGTTACTTGTAGAGTAATGGTTACTTGTAAAGTAATAGTTACTTGTAAAGTAATAGTTACTTGTAAAGCAATAGTTACTTGTAAAGTAATAGTTACTTGTAAAGTAATAGTTACTTGTAA